AATACAGTATTGGATATGTACTCCAACCCCCTTCAGGCCTGGAATAATTATTCATCTTTTGGCATCCAAGTTTCCATGAGTTATGTTTCCGAACATTATCAAGACTTCATGAACTTAGGTTGAAACTGTCTCATTTCTTAGTGTAATAGTTTCCTTAAGTGCACTGCCTGCTGTATAATGAAACCTTCCCAAAGGGTCTCTTGTACTTAAAGGCATGTGTTCTCTAAGGCTTAGTTCCAGAATTTGGAGGGATAAGGCAGGTCTTCCCTCTTGATGCAGCATAATGTAATGTCCTCTTTCTCCTCCACTCTTTTGAATAAAGGGACATTTTCTTTTCTTTCTGATGGGTTTCTACGAGGAGTCAAGCTCATTTCCTTTAATGAAAGGTACTCTCACAGAATTGGTAATCTATACAGTTTTACAGAGGCAGAATCTTGTTTTTCTTTCATTTTGTAATTTGTTCAAATTAATTATACATGACACTAGAATGTATTTTGATACATTGTACACAAATGGAGCGCAACTTCTCCTTCATCTGGCTGAACATGGTGCAGAGTCACACCGGTAGTGTAATCATACATATATACAGAGTAATAATGTCCCTCTCATTCCATTGTCCTTCCCATACCTACACCTACTTCCCTTCCCTCACTCCCCTTTGCACAATCCGAAGTTCCTTCATTCTTCCCTACTTACCCCCATTATGGATCAGCATCTACTTACCAGAGAAAACATTCAGCCTTTGCTTTTTTGGAGTTTGGCTTATTTTGCTTAGCATGATATTCTCCAGCTGCATCCATTTACCTAAAAATGCCATAATTTCATTCTTCTTTAAGACTGAGTAATACTCCATTGTGTATATGTACCGCATTTTCTTTATCCATTCATCTGTTGAAGGACATCTGGGTTGGTTCCCATAGTTTAGCTGTTATGAATTGAGCTGCTATAAGCATTAATGTGGCTGTGTCACTGTAGTATGCTGATTTTAAGTCCTTTGGGTCTAAACCTATGAGTGGGATAACAGAGTCAAATGGTGGTTCCATTCCAAGTTTTCTGAGGTATCCCCACACTGTTTTCTATAGTGGTTTCACCAATTTGAAGTCCCACCAGCAATGTATCAATGTATCTTTTCCCCCACATCCTCACCAACACTTATTGTTGCTTTTATTCTTGATAATTGCCATTATGACTGGAATGAGGTGAAATCTTAGAGTAGTTTTGATTTGCATTTCTCTAATAACTAGAGATGATAAACATTTTTTCATATGTTTGTTGATTGGTTGTAGTTCTTCTTCTAGGAAGTGTCTGTTCAGTTCCTTAGCCCATTTATTGATTGGGTTATTTGTTTTTTTGGTGTTAAGTTTTTTGAGTTCTTGATATATCTTGGATATTAGTGCTCTGAGGTGTCTGTAGTAAAGATTTTCTCCCATTCTGTAGGTTCTCTTTTCACATTATTGATTGTTTCCTTTGCTGAGAAGAAGCTTTTTAGTTTGAATCCATCCCATTTGTTTATTCTTGATTTTACTTCTTGTGCTTTAGGAGTCCTGTTAAGGAAGTCAGTTCTTAAACCAACATGGTGGAGATTGGGGCCTACTTTTTCTTCTATTACTCTGTTCTAGTGCCTAAGTCTTGATCCACTTTGAGTTTGTAGGGTGAGAGAGAGAGGCTTAATTTCATTTTGCTATATGGACTTCCAGTTTTCCCAGCACATTTTCTTAATAGGCTGTCTTTTCTCCAATATATGTTTTGGGCACCTTTTTCTAGTGTGAGATAACTGTATTTTTGTGTGTTTTTCTCTGTGTCTTCTGTTCTATACCATTGGTTATATGTCTATTTTGGTGCCAATACCATGCCATTTTTGTTACTTTTGCTCTGTAGTATAGTTTAAGATTTGGTATTGTGATGCCGTCTGCTTTATTCTTCTTGCTAAGGATTGCTTTGGCTATTCTGGATCTCTTATTTTTCAAATGAATTCTGTGATCGCTTTTTCTAGCTCTATGAAGCATCTCCTTGGGATTTTAATAGGAATTATATTAAGTCTATGTAATGCTTTTGGTAGTATGGCCATTTTGACATTAATTCTGCTTATCCAAGAGCTTTGAAGAGCTTTCTGTCTTCTAAGGTCTTCTTTAATTTCTTTCATTCATGTTCTGTAGTTTAAATTGTAGAGGTCTTTTACCTCTTTTGTTAGGTTTATTTTATTTTATTTTTTTGAGGCTATTGTGAATGGGGTAGTTTTCCTAATTTCTCTTGCAGTAGATTCATCACTGATATATAGAAATGCATTTGATTTATGGGTATTTATTTTATATCCTCAGAGGCATAATCTTATAGCAAGATTTATTCTTTATTAGTGAGATATTTCTGTATTTCAATCTTAATTGTGTATTTTCAAAAACAGTGTCAACTGGGGATAATTAATAAAGTCACATTAGTAGAGTTCATCATAGAAGTGCTATCTCCCTAAACTCTCCATTTGAGTTAGGGGCCTTTTGTTTAGAGGCCAGATAGATAAACATTAACTTAAGCTTACAGCTAGCAGGACAGAAAATAGGTAGAGGAAGAGGCAAGGGCACTAGTTAATACTAAAAAGTATGAGGTGCATTTATGTACAGCCGCCAGGCAATCCATTCTCTTCTTTCCTCCTTTGCAACAATGAAAAGCTTCATAATGAATTTACCTGATTTACAGATGAAGATGCCAAAACTCACAAAGAGGTTATGTTTTCATAACTGCAAACGCCTGACAAATCCGGGATTCAAACCCATAATTTTCTGATTCTGAATATTTTATCCCATCCCAGTGTTGGTAATTGGGAAGTGCCAGGATTTACGCATTTTCCTCAAGGAGGAGTGTTCACTGCAAATATTTCTTTTAATATACAAAGTACATTAAAAGAGATAACTGTTTGCTGGCTTTTAGATTGCTATCTCCTTTGTTATTTTGATCTCAAAATCATATTGTGTTAATACTGAAGAGTATCTTAAAATTTCAGCTGCCTGATTGTGGATAAAGGAGCTGAGGTTCAGGCAGGACTGAAGGCTTATTCAGTATTTCCCAGCTGGTAGTGGCAGTGTTGGAGCCAGGAAGGACATCCATTCTGTGTTACTTCTCCCGTGTTCAGAGTATACTCTAGGTAATGATTTTACCTTTTTAGGGCTATAGGCCATTTATTTGCCCTCTAGCCCAAATATTAATAAGATACACATTGTTTTCTTGCCTTTAATGCAATTTTACATTTATATACAAAATCTTATTTTATATTCTAAAATGTGTATCTGTATTCACTCATGTGTTGGCAAATTTGTGAAGGAATACTAGAAGAGCTTAAAATTGCTATTAATTTATAGGGTGAAAAGCTATAAAAAAACAAAACTAGCTATGACTAGAATTCAACATAAAAATTACAGTACTTATTATATAAGGAATAGACTCTATCTTTAAATCAAGACAAAATAAGTAAAATATTTACATTTTAAATAATCTGAAAAAGTAAAAAAAAATAATAATCTGAAAAAGTGAAAGCCATTTAAAGATATATAACATTTTCAATGTTTGAATTATGTGAATAGATTTCCAGCTTCATTTAATCAATTAAATATTTTATTTTTATTACATACGTATTCACAATTTTCTAATCTTGGAATATTGAAGTACATATTAATCTAACTGTGAACCACAGAATTAATTACAATAAAATGCTCTTTGACTTGTTTATCAAACTGTAATTATTAACATTTTATCTCTCTGAAAATATCCACCAAAAGTATAATTTAGTATTTGTCAGCTTCTTAACTGTTTCTTTCTTTCTTTTTTTTCTTAAAGTGAAATATGTAGAATTTTTTAAATGAATGATTTTTGTTTTTCCAAAATGCACACTGTCTTTATTGGGGTGGGGGGGGGTACGAAGGCAGACATGCTGTCTCCAGAAACACTTGAAGTTTTCATATCACCCATTTTCCTCTCCTTCCAACTCCTGGAAAATGGCTATATGTTCCCAGCTAAGGAAGCTGAGGAATAAAGGAAGAATTTGGATGACATTCTTGGTACTTTGAGCACTCCTGCAGTGTCATAAAGTAAGGCTACTCTCCATATGAGATAGCAGACTAAACTCAATGACATGAAATCCATTTTCTCACTTCATAAATATGTCCTGTCTTGGATTGCTTGCTACCCCTAAATTTGCTCACTCAGTTGTGACTTCATTCAAAAAGATGCCTTTATCCCTGATGTTCTCAGTGGTACATCTAGATTTGGAAAATTTTCTCAGCTATTGACATATTTGATGCTGTGATTTCAAAATTCATTGGTTAATGCTTTAATAGAGGAATAAGACAGATTGAGAAAGCAGGTATTTAACTTTAAAATATATGCTGTAAAGTGTAGGTAATAGTTGGTACCCCACCCCCTACTTCCCTGATATTTCTATTGTTCATGTAGTTTGTTAGGTAGTTAATGGCACTTCTTACAACTTGAATTTCCTGTGTTCTGCTGTGTTGGATTTCCTATGAATAAAGCAAACAAAAATCTCCTGGGCATAAAAGAAAGCTCTTCCTCTTTAAATAGCAGACAGAAAATGTGGGGCTTTTTCCCTTGGATTTGTATTTCCATGTGTAATTACTAAATTTGTCTGTAGGAGAAAGGAATCCAGATTTTTCTGTTACCTTCTTAAAGACACATGCAGATTGCCACACAGTGCACGTGGCACTTATCTACGGCTGGGGCTTACAGTTTTGTGAGAATTAGGTGAGCATATGGCCACTTCTTTTGCTGAATGCCAGTCCCAGAGCAATTGCTTCAGCTGGAGAAGCGGGAGGAGGAGCCTCTTTTGCTCACTGCAGCGAGTCCCCTTCTTTCTCTGGGCTGTGTGTATTGGTTCTTCCAGCTCCAAGCCGCTCCTCAGTGTGGAATAGGCAGGGTGTGCTCGCAGACCGTGGTGTAGCTGCAGTTTCTATTTGGGGTGCCCACGGAAAGGAACACCAGGAAAGAAAGCCAGTGCCATGGGCCAGCTTTGCTGCTTTCCTTTCTCAAGAGACGAGGGGAAAATCTGTAAGTGCAATTTGTACTGTGCAGAATCCTTGGTGCCTGACTATTTTGTGTTTGCTTTCTGGGGTACTTTTGATTTTTGTTATGGGAAAGATAGACTAATCAGCTGTGGTTTTTAAATATGCATTTTTAATGACAGGTGTGTAGTTATAAATTAAGTACCATAACTCAATAGGCTATGTTAATAGTCTTTCTGATTTTCTTCTGCTGGTATTCCTACAGCCCCATTTTATCACACTATCTAGAGTCAGAGTTTAGTTTTGAGTTTCTTTAAATCACTGCATTCAATTTGATACATTGTAGAATCCAGACTTCATTTTTCTTATCTAAAACTGGCACATTTTTAGGGCAGTGCTCTATCTATGTAGAGGTAAAGCTGATTCCAAAATGACGTATTGTGTCCATTTGCAGGTATTTTCATGTATCCTCTGCTTTGTTCTTCAGGGAAGGGATTCAGGTGTAACTGTAAGACCACTCCTAACAAGTAATGCCGCTTTGCCTCCAGCAAAAACCTGAGTGAATATTTTTAAACACATGTCAGGCAGTTTCCACAGCCGCTTGTGGCCCAGAAAACAGAACTTAAAAGTGGTGACCATTTGCATTGGAGTTTTTCCTCACTGACTTATGTGTATATACTTACATTTTAGCTTTGTTAAATAGAATCCTGGCATTTTAGTATGCTGAATAGAGTTTGACTTACACTGGCTGCCCCGAAATATGGAATCTTTACTTCCTTTTCAATAAAATGTTTCCAGTCATACTTGCTAATTTTGCAATCACATAACTACCGCATCAGTGCTTAACTCTGATTTAAATAGGTCCACAGAATTTCATGATATTTAGTTCAGATGCTCAAAGATCCACATTTGGTTTCAATTTCCTGCTGCTTTTTCCTCAGGAAACTGGCCAGGGGCAGGTTTTAAGAAATTAATACACATTCTACACCAATTCACACAAGAAATAAGTCAGTTTTCATAAGAAATCTTTGGGAATGCTTTGGAATAAATGTTGGGAGAGTTTGAGATTTTATTATTAACAAGAGTGCTCTGTATTTTACTCATGAAAATGATATTGTCCAGCATGTGACAGTCCTGATCTTATAACCTGAGATGATCCTACAACAAAGTCATTTACTTTCTAACAATGACCACTGTAATTCATTTAGCACAGGTATTTGTCAGAATGATTTATTTATAGTTCTTAAATATTTTTGGTTGATTGATTCTTCTTCTTCTTCTTCTTTTTTTTTTCCTTTTTTTGAGAGGACATGACCATCTGAAAATCCTTGGTTTGGACAGAGGCAAGGATAGTGAATTCTTTCCTCACCAGTCTTTATTTCCTGTTCCATTGCTTCAGGTTCTCACTTAGAGCACCTGCTTTCCTTCTGTTCTATTTCTCTTCTGCCCCTGTCTGTAAGCAATCTTATTGGCCCTATCAAAAGAAGTAAAGACTCAGTGCACGAGGAATTTGCTCTTTTCTGTCTTCCTTATCTGGGACTGTTGAAGGACACAGTCTTCTGTTTTACATGCAGTGTGCTTCCTAATGTTGATTGACAGGAAGGGCTGTGTATATTTTTTTGGGTTCTCCTCCTTGAATTCCAAACTTTCACAAAGAAAGTGAAGAGAGGACACCACATCTGAAGTGAAATTCTAGCTCAGAAGTACAAATGTTGATAGGAGCTGGAACAATCCTCTCCCTCCACTCCCTTACCCTGCTGTCCCCTGGTCTTCCACAGTTTCTCCTCATCATTATTTTTTCTGTCTTTGATGTTATCATTACTTCACTGTATCTTTTTCCTCTTAATAATTTCTCTGCTATAGGATGGTCTGAAGAAAATCTTTAAACAGTCTCTGCTATCCTGCTAACAGTACATGTCTGGCAGTACCTATGAAAGGAGTGTTGAAAAAAAGGGGTGGAGAATTCATTGCCCAGGTACCTTAAGAAACCCATACATAGTACTAATTAGAGGTAACTTGTCCATAAGTTGTGTGATAACTTGTAAAATAATCCACAAGAGACACTTGGGAGAGCCCAGCATTATTTTGTTTTTGTTACTGGATCATACAGTAACTTCCCCTTCTGGGACTTATTCATCTTCATGACCCAACTACATAGTAGTCTTGTTACCTTCTCTGGGTCCCCTACTCTGGAAGCATTTACCAAGCAAACACCCACATTTTTCTGATCCTGTCATAAAGGGCAGCAGTAGTCTTGGAATGTTCCTCTGGATGTTAGCTCAGATTATACAGAATTCATTGGTTTTTTGGGGAGAGTTTAAACTTGTGGGTGTCATTCTTAAAACACAGGTGAGTTGGAAAGCTCATCCCCTGCAGTCCTACAGAAATACAGCGAGGATATATCCACCTGGCCAAGTGGTAAGCGTCAAGTGATCCTTCCTTCTCCTGCTATTTTATCCTGCTTTGGCCCTTTGGTGGTGGTGGCGGTAGATAGAACTAATTTAATTGATTTATTAGTGTTACTGCTTTAATCTGCTGATAACAAAATGATTCTTGAGTTAACCGGTTATGCAGGGGCCTAAGTTCATGTGGGAACTATATGCATAGCCAGAAATCTTGACTATGGGGTGAACAGTGGAAACAGCAGAGCTTGCCATGGTTTACATGTCTGTTCTTGCAGCACAGAGCAACATGGACCTCCTTGTTTAAGTCCAGCGGTTGAACATTTTTCCAAACTGTATACTTTTTTGTTTGTTTTTGGATCATCATAAGTAGCATATACTGAAAATAATATGCATGTTTCTTGGAAGACTAGACTCTTTATAAAGCTATATAGGAATATACTTGACATTAAAAATTAATGCAGATCTTGTAGGATTAACAAATACTGTAGATATTCTCCAATGTAGTTTTTGCTGAAATCTTTCATAGGGCTTCTTTCTTCAAATTACCTAATTTCTCATAGTGAGCTGTCTGAAAGGAATGTCCCTCAAAAGAAATGTCATTACACAGGCATGCTGACCACTGTGGTTTATCTACCTCAAACAAAAACTTGGTAACTAAATAGAAAATAACCAATCAGAAAACATTTTACTTGCTCTTATCTTACTGCACATTTTCTCCATTTTGAAGTACTTTGCTTTTATGTAGAAATCAAATAAGTGAACATTCAGAGATGAACCAGACTGCCTCATGAGGCAGACAGGCTCCGGTGGCTGGAAGTAATGAAGCACAGGATGGGGAAACAACTCGCTCCTGGGGGTGTGGACAGGGGAGTGGACCAGCTGATGACGTTGACGGCTTACTTTATGTCTAACTCTGGTATTCTGTGATGCTGAAAACAAATATTAAGATAAATATGTATTTTAACAAGACACACAATTTAATTGTATCATGAAATATATTTCAATATAGTCTTTTTTGTGGGACTTCTTACCAGGACCATTTGTGGTATTTTTTTCATAAATATGAGTCAGATCCCCAGATAGTTTCTGATGGTTTGGAATTTGCTGGTGTTATATACATTGAGATGTACATTGTGGATTTAATCTCTGGTGAGTACTTTTATTTTTGAACTTTAATTACCATGGTGGTAATTATTCAGTTACACTCAGGGAGTCTGTATTTAGATTTTTCCAGTTCTCCAGAAAGCTTCCATAAATCTTAGTCTTATACTTTGCTCTTCTCTTCACATTTAAGACACAATGACTTTGTGATTATCTTTCACATAGCTGTTCTATCTTATCACACGAATTTCCAGCACCCCACATTCAGGACAAATACTGATGTCCCCTTAGTTGTACCAGACCGTAACACAGTGTCTCACCCAGAGGAGGCATGTTCTGAATGTTTGTCAATGAAGAGAATGATACATATTGCCTGTTAGGCTGCCAGTGAGACAATATCAGTATGCACCAGAGGACAGAATTTTGAATGACTTTGGTCATGAACTTCTAAAATTTTGAAAGTTTATCCATTTTCCCCCTTTGTCCTTTAAGCAAAGAGTCTGGGGAATTTTTTTTAAAAAGGGGGGGTGGTGCTGTAGACATGATGACATTCTTTTTTTCCCTTCCTCCTCATTCTCTACTTCCCTTCTCTTTCCTCTCCTTCCTCCTCTTCTTAATTTATTGAATGCTTACTGTGTGCCAGGTACTATGGCAGGATTATTTTCAGATATGCTTATGAAATGCAACTGTTAGAAAATATATGCTCTCCAAATGTCCCATTTCAGAGGAGAAGTTGCTAGAAGCCAGAGAATTGGGTAATTTCTCAGTAACAGTCCTCCAGGGGTGTTATGGGGCCCAAGGCTGGCAGAAGGCCCGGATCCCAGGTTGCTCAGTCAGTATCTGCTGTCCTCCTGAAGCAGTGAAGCTAGTGGTGCTGATAACCCGAGACTACATTTTGCATAAGATCTGTGCTGGTAACACTTGCATAGTGGCAGCAGTAATGTTGTGCAAATGTAAACTATTTAGCCACAGTCAGTAAAGATTAGATTTTCCCTTTATAAAATAATGTATACCCAGGAGGTTTGTTTCTAAAATTCAGTATAGGAACGTTAGAGCAAATGCTAATATTCTTATTTTATCTCCCTGATTCCCTCTGTTAATTCAGCGGCTATGTATTAATTGCATTTTCTTTTGTTGTTGTTCTCAGGTGTTCTGGGAATTTGCCTGGATTTTTCCATCAAATGCTGAATAATTTTCAATGGGATTACCTAGATTGTAGGATCATTCCCAGCCCCTGGTGTAGCTATGGCTGCTGTGAGTTACACATAGATGCCCTATCCTCCAACAGTGTGTTTTGACCTGTTCTTGTGTCTTCTTTCCTGGGGCCATGTGAAAAAGGAGCAGGATTTCTGATGGACATAAAGGTCTGGACTAGTAAAAGAGAGCTTCATTTTTGTTACTCCTTCCTGGGGCATTTGCACTTTAACAAGATTAAAATCCTAAGAACTCTTGGGAGGTATTTGTAGTAAAATAATAAGATAGTTTAAGCACTGATAATGACTTCACCCAAAATAATGTCTTATGGAAGAATTCCAGGCATTAGGCTAAAGCTAGAAAACCTGATGAGGACATGTGATAAATCACTTCCTATAGATCTGATTAATTTTAGCCTTGCTTAATACATAGGTCTTTGAGCTTTCATACATGAACTTACTCTTCAATGAGAGCCTCAAAACTCTCAGTCTGGTAGAAAAGCAGAGGTTTTGGAGACAGACTGACTCAGTTTGTATTTTTGGTTCTGACATTTACTATTTCACTTTTCTAAGCTTCTGTACCCTCACCTCAAGTAATATCTACCTATTGTGAAAATTAAATGGCTAATGGTTATAAAATGCCTGCTTGGCGTATAGTATATTATATTATAAATGTTAAGTTCTCTGCAACAGATAAAGAATATGTTAATTGTATAACTGTACCCAAACCGTGGTATTATTTTCACTTTCCCAGAATGGGAAATAAGGGACATAGAACTTCAGACCATGAATTGTTGAATAGACTCATGGCATTTGTCTGCATAGCATCCTTCCTTTGGGGGGACTCCCTCCCCTTCTTCTCGAGGTCCTGTCTATCATGATGCCTTGCCTCCTGTCCTAGGACAGACATGTGGTCCAAGAAAAGTCACAAGTCTTCCTTAAGATTTGACAGAGGGTCATTCTAAGAATGAAGTCAGTGCCAAAGAAAGAAGTCTAATAAAGAAGAGGAGACACTCTGGTGGTAATGTTTGACCTGAGTTCAGCCATGCCTGGGACCTTCTTCCCTACACGAAGCTCTTCCCCTTCTTTTTTGCTTAAACTTGGTTGGGTTAAAACTTTATCACATGCAAAAGGAGGCTTTAGATGTTATTCTAGGAGATTCTCAAGGCATATAAGTAGAAATAAAACCTTAGCTCTGCCAAGTTGACTTCTAAGATCACTGTAGCTATACAATCAATGCACTGTTATTGCTACAGAGAAATTATATTTACTGAGTTTATTATATGCCATGCTTCAGCATATATTCTAGAACAAATATACCAGACAGAGAAAAATGAAAGCTTTCTGATTTTTTCTGAGTCTTCATGTTCCATATTAGTTGTGGTAAAATTTAGCCTTACGTGAAGGTACTGTGAAGAATATTTCAGTGTACTTCAGTGAAGGTTGTTTGGCCTGTAATGTCTGTAAAGCTCTGAGCAGGTGTTTTAGAAGAAACAATGAGGAGGAGTTTTTCTTTTTTCTTTTTAATTTTCATGACTTTTAAAAAATAAATGTGTTGGATCCCAAAGTTTAGTATGCTCCAAAAGGAAAAAACCAAGGTGAAGGATCTTGATGCTTTCAGTCTAACAAGTGAAGCCACACCCTTTACATGACAGGAAGCTACATAGCTAAATCAGTGAAGGCCATGAAAGCAAGTTAATTACCACCAATCTTGGAAATTACCTTGAGCTCGTATCAAAGACAGGATTTACAACTTGACATCAACAAAGAATTTCTACAGCATACATTTTAGAAAATTAAATGTATTATGACAGGCATTTGTAATGGTAAGGTTACAAGTTAACAGACCTTGGGACTAGTAAACCTTTCACTTGCATAGTAAAGTTCTTTGCTCTTAGCAAACAGTCAGACAAAACCTGAACTGTATGGTGAAAATATAAAGAATAACTGGAGCTTGAACTTAAATGCTATGCTAACTTGGACATAAATGTTGTTAATTTTATTATACCCCAAAGACATTTAGGCTTACAATTTCCTGTTACTGAACACTCCCCCCAAAACTTACAAATTTAGTCATGGACATTTATAAACATAAGATTTATGTACAGAAAAATTATAGTACAAGGAGAAAGTGATGTACAAACAAGATGCTTGGAGTGGAGGGAGAGAAGGTGTCACATCCTCTTGAGAGGTGGAGCTCACATGTTGGTGATGCTGATGGGAGATGGAAGAAGGAATCTGGTGGAAGGGGTGATGCATTTTTCATCACCTGTCTCAGATCCCACTGCCCCTTTTTTTGTGGTCATATAGTTGTTGTTGGAATTTGTCATGGGAATTACATCAGGCTTCAATTTGATGCCTCACCTCCGACCATTGGAGAGCAAAAATAAAATTCACACTTTCTAAGCATTTTAAATGTTCAGCTAAAGTTAGCTGTAAAGTCAACCTTTTCAGGGATTTGAGTGATGTGTATGATAGCTCATAAATTGGCAAGCAGATAACTTGTTAACCTAAGACTTCCATCTAGATTTATTGTAGTCAAACATTATTTAGAGATCTCACAAGCTGGAATGTGTCCTAAGGGAGACCAGGACGGTGTGGCCACATCACAAGAAGGGGCTGAAGGACTGGCTGCTTGGCTAGGGTGAGCAAAAGCAGAAGAATCAGTTGTTTTAACTTAGAGGGCTCTTTAATGTGGAAAGGAAAAGAGTTGTTTAAC